CTGCTTCTGGTGTGGTAGCAGAGGAATGATTTGCTTCTTGGTCGGTTATTAGCTGGTGAAGCTTTCGACTTTTTGACATCATAGGGGACTGAAATAAAACATGTCACGACACGGGACAAATTTTAGAGAAACCAAGTACAGAGAATTGTTGGGTGTGCAAGCATAAGTTAAGAATATTGGTTTTAGTGTGCTATCGGAAGCTCACCTTGTGAAGATGGAAGTTCATCTTCTCTACTTCAACCAAAAGGTCACTTGGCAATTCCGTTGTGCAAAACCTGCAATAAGGAATTGTTGTGAATATGGTCACTTTTGGATCAAGAAAAGCGTGGTTCAAAGGTAGCCAGTGAGAGAAGTTATTAATCTAACCATGCTTGCCCTCTGGAATTCGGTTGCTCCCCTGTTGTCATTTCCTCAGAAAAATTCCAGGATTCAAAAATACAAGCAGATTTCAGTTTAACTGAATTCTGAAGATGCTGAAAACTAAGCATACATAATGTGAGTAGGGGATTGTGGGACAGTGATTTTATTATCACCCTGAATTATAGACGAATTGTAGAAAGTAGACTTGACTGGCACAACCAATTGCGAAATATAGATAGATGAGAAGGAAGAAAAATATTGTCTTTTTGTGCTTTCTTTTGGAGATTTTATGTGGAAAAGAACACATGAAAGCTTAATATAAGAAGTGAAAAGACGAAGAAAGGACCGGGTGAAACAGTATGGAATCTACAAACTCAAAACGGACAAATAGACCTAGACCAAATTCCTAAAAAGGGGATCCATAGGATCCCTTTCCTTCCTTTATCAGAACTTCCTTTTCTTTCTTCTTCTCTGACTTTCAGCAGAACTTCACTATCACCTACTGTTTATCTCACTCATGAATTAAGATGGCAATAAACTCAACAAAAAGGAGGTGTCACTGATTAGTTTTCTTTTTGGAAAGACAACATTCACTCATTACCCATATAGCATTGCTTGCCAACCAGGTTATTACTTTTTGCGCAAATGATGGAATAATTTAGTTTAGGAATGAGAATTCTGGTTTTCTCACATACAGTGTTGCTTTGCTTAGATAATAGATCATCTTATCATTATTTTAGACGGAACCTGTCAAATAATTCTCTAAAAGGCCCAGCGGGACCTTATATCATCTGCCATGGCGGAGTTAACGAATGCAATGTTAATTGCAAATTTCTTTAGTTGGTTTAGGACAACATTCTTTACTGGTTCTTTTGTTCATCTTTTATTAATTAGTTAATTTTTAAAATAAACAAAGTTAATTAAAATAATAATAAATATTTCAATTTATGATAATTAAAATGTTCTTTATTACTATACTATATTAATTAGTAATTTTCATTTTTAATGTTAAATTAAATTTAGTTGATGATAAAACTAAAAAAATATAGGTTAAAACATGACAAAATTCAAATTAATAAAGACTAAAAACAGAAGGAATTATTAATAGTACCTTTTGTTTGGAGGATGTTAATAAATTCATGAAACGTCTTCTATATTCACTCTACCAGAAAATATGTAAGCATTCCTCTTGTCTGCCCTTGATTAAGAGTAATCACAGTAAATTTAGTAAAAACCAGATTAAGGGGGAAGGAAGCCTTATATATATATATATATATATATAACAGAAAGTTGGTATGAAGTATTATTGTTAATGAAATTAGTTTTCCTAAAGTTGAGGAATACATTTTAAAGGATAAGCTTAGAGCTTCCAAACTAAACAAAATTGAGTAAAGAGAAAGACAAATACTGAGAGGTGTCTTCATTTATCGTGGCATATCTTTTGTCTCATACTTTCGTAGAATTTACGGCTACCTTTACTGAGTAAACAACCACTGTAAGGTGCAGTGCAGCATTCCAAGAACTTCTTCAAAATAAACCAAGAGTTCAAATTGATACACGCACATGACAATGTGTACAAATATAGAAAAAGGGTGGGAGGGAAGTGTTTCAATAATGCAGTCTTTGCTTCAATAGATGTACTCTTTGTGAGAAAAGAAAAGGAAATAATGTAAGTATTTGCTTCAACTTGCTGACTTGTGAGAATGGATTTAAAGAAAGATGAGTTGATGAATTTAACAGGATAAAAAGAAAATAATAGAATTGTTTGTTTTAAAGATGAAGAGTTAAAAGTGAAAGGATACGAAGGTAAATTCGGACCTTACCCTTTCAAATGCCTTCCAATGGATCAGTTTATTTGAGAATTCAAGTGATGGGTGTAGAAGTTTCTTTATCAGTTACTGTTTGGTCACTCACACTGTCAATCTAGCCTATTTGCGCTGCTACGTTTTTGGACACAGGGGACCATTACAAGATGCTATTTGCTATTTCGAAAATATTAGTCATACCAGCAACTCTTACGGCTCGTTATCTTAATTAGTTCCAAAATATTGTTTTTAGTTTTGATTATTTATTCTCTAAGTTTTAATCATTCGATGGATTAGTCTCCATTGTTTTACAGAGATTAGATTTGGTATTTACACTGTACTTTTGGTCGTAATTCCAATGTAGAAGAAAATCAGTGTTTCATTTTTCTTACTATATCCAAAAACTTAAGCACCCTCGAAAATTTAAATTTAATAAACCGTTGAATTAACTTCTGAATGGTTTCTCACGTAGAGGACAATATACATAAAATTTTCATGCAAGAACTATGTTCTTGACCGACATTTTTGAGATTTATAATTCTCAAAGTCAAATTAATGGATAATAAAACATGACAATTAAAAAGTATATCTCTCAATAAGCATTTGAAAATCGTAAAAACCCTGCAGATAGCATCCATTCGAAGATAAAGATAACATAACCAAGTCGTTAGAACCCACGTTAAATGCGTCTAAAAAGAGGAGCAAAAGTTCAAGAACATCTATTGAAACTAAAATGACAATTAAACCTTTCAATTATGGTTATATCCAAATATTTTAAATGTTCCCCCTCCCTCCTTTTACCAAATTCCTCCCTCTCAGACCCACGTTAACAGAGTATGGGTTAAAGAGGGATAGAAAACCATGACAGAATAAAAAATAATATACCTAAAACCAAAACATAAACTGACAAACTTTGAAGCATACGAAGTTTATTACACAGGGCACTAGAGCAGAGAAATTTATTCTTTATTAATGGATCCATTAACATAGAAGAATGCAGGTTCATGTTGGTCAGTTTCACATGACCAACGCTNCAGCTCACACCAATTTAACGCCGTCTCACACCACTTAACGGTTATGGTACAATGTGCTCACTTTTACAAAAAATATGACCCAATTGAGACAGAAAAAAACTTGAGGACCCAAATGAGATTTTCATACAAACTTGAGGACCAAGGGAGGGTTTAAACCATAAAAAATACCTACATAACTTTTTCTTCTATACGAGATTGTGAAAATTGTTCTGGTTAAGATATAAAACTAAATTTTACATATTTATATATATAACAATCTCAATAGGATGTACTCTGCATATATGTATAAAACATGATCCATAATTTTCTCCATCATTCAAAATTGCTTTCACCACAACATTTAAGCCAAAAAAAATATTAAAAAACAAAGTCAAGGCCGCCGCGATATCATAAACAAAACCCAAACAATACTTGTTGGTGACAATCACTGACTATATTTTTCAACGTCTGTTAAAAATTAAAAGATTTTAAGATATTAAGTTTAGAGTTATTATGTTATTGTAACGAGAAAACGTGAAGAATTAAATACTTATTTTTTACTGATATCGTGTGTATATTATAAAATTTAATAAAGTAACAGAAAGAATTTTGTTTTGAACTAAGTTTATTGGATAGAAAATTTAAATATAGAATAATTCGTTTAAAATGTATTTTGATTGCTTAAATATAAAATTTAAATTCTATAAAAAATAAAAAATAAAAATGCATCTCTTCTACACCACTTTATTCTATAACAATAAGGAATACGGTGAAAGGATATTTTAAATGATAGTGAAGTGACAAAAATCAATATTACTAGTTGTTTCTATAATGTGACTGAAAATTCAAGCAATGAAAGCTAGCATAGAAGAAACATCAAGTCCTATAAGACTAAAAACAAACTGAAGTTCTCAACAAACTTCAAAAAGTTAAGTTACTAAATTAAACTCATGTGACGAATGTTAAGTATAAATCAAGATCACTGATACGATTTAGTCTCATGAATTGAAAGCAACTTTTTATTTTAAATTAAAAGACAAAAAAATAAAAAGAATAATTGAAGTACCAAAATAAATATTATCCACATTTAAGTCTGTTACTTGTAGTGATTAATTTTATATGGCCTCTATTATATATACTATTAAGACAAAATTTAAATTCTAACGAAAGAATATCATTAAAAAACATATAAAAATATGTGTTATTCAATTTTAATTCGATCTAATTTAATAAAAAAATTAAGTATTCACAATGATTTAAATTTGGGAATGAATCCTTAATTTTTTTTAAAGTGATAAAATGACTGTCAAATGAGACACACGATAAAATACAAATGACTGGTTTTGATTGTTTGAGAGAAGGATTGTTTTAAAGAGTAGAAATAAACTTTGATAACATTTTAATATTATTTATGTGTAATTGATTCAAAATTATTCTACGATTAATAATAATAATTATAAATACTAACATGAATTAATCATTATAATAATAATAAACATTAATATTAAAATGACACTGATATTAATATGTTATAAAATAATATTGTGACGGTATCTTATCATTTTAAAAAACAAATATTTAAGTGAAAGATTCCTGTATGCACTCCAATCACCTAGAAAGGCGAGTCATTATGCAATTTACCCATTCATCAAAAATTATTTGCAGTGTATTTTTATTAATAATATTATTTGAAAAAAGTTTTCTGACACCACTTACCCTATTAACAACCCATTTTTAAAAAAAATTAGTTCATTAAAAAATAATTTTTTATATTTATAAAAAATTAAAAAAAGAAAAAACAAATATAAAAGGTGTATAAAAATTTATTGGGTGTATTTACAGGTAAACACAATGTGGGCACAAACGACATAGAACCATTCTACTTCAGCACCAGTGGAACCCATTATCACGCATTCCAAAGTCCAATCATATTCTCACGTGTCATCCAGCAAGGTGTTTTACTAGGGTGCTACTCTACTTATTGTTCACGATGAGGACGCCGGTGGGGCCTACCCTCGCGCTTGTCAACCACCGTTGTCCGCTCATGGGAATCACAAACCTGCGTTTTGAACTTGCAACCGAACTTCTTACCCAAAGCGAGCCACGCCCCGCCGCCTTGTGGGCCCGTCCTGTCCATCTTCTCAATCACCCGTTTCATCGAAGAACACTCTCGTTCTAGCTGATGCACCCGCGACCTCATGCTATCCATGTCCAAGCGAAGCACTTGATTCTCCCTCACCGTTACCTGCCACGTGTTAATATCGCCGCCATCGTACGTGTATCCTTCCCCTGTTCCACCCCCGTCTGCATCCTTCGACGGCACCGAAAGCCTTGCCGGCTCCTCCGCTGCCATCAGCGTTCCGACGATGGCGTGCCTCAGTTGAAGTTGCTCGAAGAAGAGCACGCGAACCACCGCTCGCAGCGGGAGCCTTTCATTCTGCGCGGCGTGCGTGCACGCCTCCAGTGTAAGTTTCTGACAGTCCAACACTTCACAAATCTTCTCCCTATCCGATTTCGAAACCCATGGATGCGCCTGCAATTAGCGATCCGAAATTAGGATTTTCAATAATCAATTATGTTTCTTACAGAAGCACGTAATATCGGAATAGTTTGTATGTACCTTGAGGTAGACATCTACGGCACGATAGAGACCATCGTGGAACAGTCTCGCTTGATCAGGAACTGAGATAGCAAGATCGTAGAATTTCTTAGGCTTGAGATTGGCATCGGAAGCGATCTCTGAAAGATAACAGTCGATGAGTTTTCCGACGAGCATCATCGCCGGCGACGTTGGTTCGCAGCCGTCGATTGCAGCCACTTTTCGCTCTTCTTCTAAAAAGTAACGTAAAATCCTCGCTACGCAATCGATATCGTACAAAGTTTCGTTTAGATATGAATAGCTAGGTATGAGAAGGTCATCGAGAGTAACTTCATCGAGCTGCGATCCTATCTTCTTCTCCAACACGTCTCTGCATGCTTCCGAAGCACTCAGCATGGCAGCGGTTCGCAACAGTCCGAAGAGAAACCTCACCTGCGTGGAGTGCTTGGATGAGAGGTTCGAGATCACAATCTCAAGTAACTCTTTCTGTTCTGCTTCTGAAGAAGACAATGTCAAAGCCTTCCGATTGGACCTCGACAAGCCTGGAATGTGTTTCTTAGCGTAATGCATTAGGCAGGTTTTGATTATCTCCGGCTTCAACTCAGATCCTTTCATGGCGATAATTAATTGCTTGAACATAGGTAAACCTAGAAGCGTGAGCTCCCCAAACCAAGAGTCCTCTTCACCATCGATCATGGCTTTTCTTCTTCCCCGCAGTGTGTAAGCGGAATCGCTCACTGGCCACCTAAACCGTGCTTCGGAGACGATGGAATCGACGCACCTCCGCGGGATTCCTAAAGTCTCTGCGAGAGGCATTAAGCGCTGGCTGGATTTCAAAGCTATGATGGAGTCCTTGAGGCCGTTTAGCACGGACTGAGAGAGAAAGGTCTCCGTCTTGGAGATCAGGTTTTCTTCGGAGTGTTCTTCCGTCATCTCGAGAAATTCCCCGGCGCAGCGGAGAGGAACCACATTGGAAGAAGATAAGTCGATTTTGGCGCCGAAACAGAATTTCGCGGCTAATTCAAAGGTCTCGGAGCCGCCGGGGAAATCTGCGAATACCAAATGACAGTGTTTGCCCCCCTCTTCTGCTTCTGGTGTGGTAGCAGAGGAATGATTTGCTTCTTGGTCGGTTATTAGCTGGTGAAGCTTTCGACTTTTTGACATCATAGGGGACTGAAATAAAACATGTCACGACACGGGACAAATTTTAGAGAAACCAAGTACAGAGAATTGTTGGGTGTGCAAGCATAAGATAAGAATATTGGTTTTAGTGTGCTATCGGAAGCTCACCTTGTGAAGATGGAAGTTCATCTTCTCTACTTCAACCAAAAGGTCACTTGGCAATTCCGTTGTGCAAAACCTGCAATAAGGAATTGTTGTGAATATGGTCACTTTTGGATCAAGAAAAGCGTGGTTCAAAGGTAGCCAGTGAGAGAAGTTATTAATCTAACCATGCTTGCCCTCTGGAATTCGGTTGCTCCCCTGTTGTCATTTCCTCAGAAAAATACCAGGATTCAAAAATACAAGCAGATTTCAGTTTAACTGAATTCTGAAGATGCTGAAAACTAAGCATACATAATGTGAGTAGGGGATTGTGGGACAGTGATTTTATTATCACCCTGAATTATAGACGAATTGTAGAAAGTAGACTTGACTGGCACAACCAATTGCGAAATATAGATAGATGAGAAGGAAGAAAAATATTGTCTTTTTGTGCTTTCTTTTGGAGATTTTATGTGGAAAAGAACACATGAAAGCTTAATATAAGAAGTGAAAAGACGAAGAAAGGACCGGGTGAAACAGTATGGAATCTACAAACTCAAAACGGACAAATAGACCTAGACCAAATTCCTAAAAAGGGGATCCATAGGATCCCTTTCCTTCCTTTATCAGAACTTCCTTTTCTTTCTTCTTCTCTGACTTTCAGCAGAACTTCACTATCACCTACTGTTTATCTCACTCATGAATTAAGATGGCAATAAACTCAACAAAAAGGAGGTGTCACTGATTAGTTTTCTTTTTGGAAAGACAACATTCACTCATTACCCATATAGCATTGCTTGCCAACCAGGTTATTACTTTTTGCGCAAATGATGGAATAATTTAGTTTAGGAATGAGAATTCTGGTTTTCTCACATACAGTGTTGCTTTGCTTAGATAATAGATCATCTTATCATTATTTTAGACGGAACCTGTCAAATAATTCTCTAAAAGGCCCAGCGGGACCTTATATCATCTGCCATGGCGGAGTTAACGAATGCAATGTTAATTGCAAATTTCTTTAGTTGGTTTAGGACAACATTCTTTACTGGTTCTTTTGTTCATCTTTTATTAATTAGTTAATTTTTAAAATAAACAAAGTTAATTAAAATAATAATAAATATTTCAATTTATGATAATTAAAATGTTCTTTATTACTATACTATATTAATTAGTAATTTTCATTTTTAATGTTAAATTAAATTTAGTTGATGATAAAACTAAAAAAATATAGGTTAAAACATGACAAAATTCAAATTAATAAAGACTAAAAACAGAAGGAATTATTAATAGTACCTTTTGTTTGGAGGATGTTAATAAATTCATGAAACGTCTTCTATATTCACTCTACCAGAAAATATGTAAGCATTCCTCTTGTCTGCCCTTGATTAAGAGTAATCACAGTAAATTTAGTAAAAACCAGATTAAGGGGGAAGGAAGCCTTATATATATATATATATATATATAACAGAAAGTTGGTATGAAGTATTATTGTTAATGAAATTAGTTTTCCTAAAGTTGAGGAATACATTTTAAAGGATAAGCTTAGAGCTTCCAAACTAAACAAAATTGAGTAAAGAGAAAGACAAATACTGAGAGGTGTCTTCATTTATCGTGGCATATCTTTTGTCTCATACTTTCGTAGAATTTACGGCTACCTTTACTGAGTAAACAACCACTGTAAGGTGCAGTGCAGCATTCCAAGAACTTCTTCAAAATAAACCAAGAGTTCAAATTGATACACGCACATGACAATGTGTACAAATATAGAAAAAGGGTGGGAGGGAAGTGTTTCAATAATGCAGTCTTTGCTTCAATAGATGTACTCTTTGTGAGAAAAGAAAAGGAAATAATGTAAGTATTTGCTTCAACTTGCTGACTTGTGAGAATGGATTTAAAGAAAGATGAGTTGATGAATTTAACAGGATAAAAAGAAAATAATAGAATTGTTTGTTTTAAAGATGAAGAGTTAAAAGTGAAAGGATACGAAGGTAAATTCGGACCTTACCCTTTCAAATGCCTTCCAATGGATCAGTTTATTTGAGAATTCAAGTGATGGGTGTAGAAGTTTCTTTATCAGTTACTGTTTGGTCACTCACACTGTCAATCTAGCCTATTTGCGCTGCTACGTTTTTGGACACAGGGGACCATTACAAGATGCTATTTGCTATTTCGAAAATATTAGTCATACCAGCAACTCTTACGGCTCGTTATCTTAATTAGTTCCAAAATATTGTTTTTAGTTTTGATTATTTATTCTCTAAGTTTTAATCATTCGATGGATTAGTCTCCATTGTTTTACAGAGATTAGATTTGGTATTTACACTGTACTTTTGGTCGTAATTCCAATGTAGAAGAAAATCAGTGTTTCATTTTTCTTACTATATCCAAAAACTTAAGCACCCTCGAAAATTTAAATTTAATAAACCGTTGAATTAACTTCTGAATGGTTTCTCACGTAGAGGACAATATACATAAAATTTTCATGCAAGAACTATGTTCTTGACCGACATTTTTGAGATTTATAATTCTCAAAGTCAAATTAATGGATAATAAAACATGACAATTAAAAAGTATATCTCTCAATAAGCATTTGAAAATCGTAAAAACCCTGCAGATAGCATCCATTCGAAGATAAAGATAACATAACCAAGTCGTTAGAACCCACGTTAAATGCGTCTAAAAAGAGGAGCAAAAGTTCAAGAACATCTATTGAAAGTTCAGAATCTGCTTATACACAAAAACCAAAAATATAGAAACTAAAATGACAATTAAACCTTTCAACTATGATTATATCCAAATATTTTAAATGTTCCCCCTCCCTCCTTTTACCAAATTCCTCCCTCTCAGACCCACGTTAGCAGAGTATGGGTTAAAGAGGGATAGAAAACCATGACAGAATAAAAAATAATATACCTAAAACCAAAACATAAACTGACAAACTTTGAAGCATATGAAGTTTATTACACAGGGCACTAGAGCAGAGAAATTTATTCTTTATTAATGGATCCATTAACATAGAAGAATGCAGGTTCATGTTGGTCAGTTTCACATGACCAACGCTACATTACATTATTATATTAGTATTAACCTCCTTAAACAGTTATAACACACGATACTACCCTCTGCACGTCGTCGTATAACTCGAAAAGAACTTGTACGGATCAGAATCCAACGCAGCTCCATCAACTTTGAGCATTCCCGTTGCCTGCTGCAGAAACCAACAGGTACACTCCATCTCCATAATGAATTGGTATTTACATAAAGTTTAAAGTAACGTAATTGATTAAGAGGAAGTTGAAAAGGTTTACCTTGGGAAGAGTTGTTGGGCTGAGTTGGTTGCTGAGTAGCCGTGTCGGTGCTTCTGGGGGGTATGACAACGCCGGGCCATGAGCGGCAGGTGCAGTGCATTCCCTCGTCAATGCTGGCGTAGAGGGTGGTCAGGTGGTTCCCACACCCTCCCCACGTGTACCTCCCACAGCTTCTACACTCCACCCTATAGCACATGATTTTGGCTTTGAAAGTTGAAACTCTTCTACACTTGATCAATTCCAACGATGCCTTGCTTCAGAGTATGGTATTATGACACAACAAACCCATTTTATAAAGTATGTATTCAGATGACATTGTTGATCCTGTCATCTCGTTAACATCAACGCTTTCTTGGTTTAGTTTCTCTTGTGTCACACACTAATGGGGCCACCTCGATACTGAAGATAACGCCTGGCATAATTATTCGGTTATTCCATTTCAGAGATTCTGTTTAGAAGCCACTCTTCCTATTCCTAATTTGCCTTTCAAAACCTTTATGGACCAGATATTGCATTCAACGACTACCATTATGCCACCTTCTTAGGAATAACCGCTAGACAAAATACATCGCATTCACTTCTTTTCCTAGGTCTCTTTCATTTGTTGATAGTAACTAGTAATTGATCTTACAGCTTCGAGTAGGGGTGCTCAATATATAGAGCTATTTTTTAGGTTAAGATGCTTAAATACTCCTTTCACTGCGCCGCATCCGTTGTCTCTTTGTTTCGCGATCTTAAATATGGTTTTTTATCCTAGGTGAAAGAAATAGCAGAGAACCCTCAGATGGTTCTTCGAATATACTTCAAACTTATTTAGAGAAATCAAATTGAGAATACTTTATACGGAAAAAAAAATCGAAGTCCATCATAAGGTATCAGAAATATAACCAAAACAATTCGGTAGAGAACATATAAATCGATCACAGCCTTTAAAGCTTGCAGATTTTAACTCCTAATTTATAGTTTACTTGCATGAGCAAGCTTATAAATGAATTTTGCCAAACAAACTAAGAATCCAAGAAACAGTATTTAACTTCGATCGACAGAAACATTCGTTATTCACAACGGTGGAAAGACCCGTGCAATCATTTTTCATTTATCCTGTTATTTTTGGGCTGCGATGTTATGATATGGATGTTTCATTATACCTTCTGGCTTGGTTAAACAAAAATTGTAGCATGCTTCAGTAATTAATCAATTACCATGCCCCCCAAAATCATAACTATTACTCATTCAACCAAATCCAGAGTAAATACCCTGAGTGATTTTAATTGAAAAAAAATATATCGTAATTTTTTTACGAATGTCATTTCAAGTATTCAGAAATTTGTGACGATATCAATTAGCTGCACATAAAGCCAGTACGGAGACTATATAGCAGAAGACTTTCTCAGAAAACATTCAATCCCCTAAAAATATCCTCTCATCAATAGTTCACTAGTGTCACCAAACTGTATGGTTGCATTCAAAGTTCAAATTAAACACACCATACAAACGAACCAAGAATTACATCAGCAAGCGCTCTCATCACCCTTGTCTTCAGTTGATTCTAACGCTGGTTTTTTTGGTGTGCTTCCTTCTGACGAGCTGGCATTTGATGGTCGCTTAACACCTCTTCCTACCACACCAAGGTGTGTGACTCCACCTGATCCATTGGTGTGGGCAGTTGAAATGGATGGAGAGTCAAAACCTCCATTGTTTTTTACAGTAGCCAACTGTGAGGAACTCACCATTCCCAGAGATGATTCCTTCCCATTGCCTGCTTTGGCAGCGGCTATTCCTAGGATCTCAGCTAAAATTGACTTTGGATTTGAGACTAACTGTTGCAAATCTTCAAGCTGCAATTTCATAAATTCCCATTTATATCAAAATAAAAGCATAGGATAGCTAGTTATCTTAAAAAAATTTACCAAGTTTACCTTTCTTTCCAGCTCACTTGATAGACCTTTCAGAGTTTCAATCTCTGATTGCTTATCCACAATTGAGTTATTAGGGTCAGAATTGGGGTCTGTAGGTACATTCTCAGTTAACTCGGACACAGATGTCAAATCTGAACAACTCTTTACTTCATTTGTAAGACGATGCAATCGTGCCTTACAAACAGATGCAGCCTTCTGACAGTAGATAATTGCTTCTTCAGCCTTAGAACCAACCTCCAAACACAAGCATATGCGAAAGTTTCTATTTTCAGGAGTTAAGTAGCAGCAGAGGACATATTCAGTTATCTACTTTGCTTAAATTAAAGACACCATAAAAACCACACATTTAGATAAAAATTAAACATAGGATACAAGTCAGCAATTTTTCTATCATCTGGTTCAACAAGTTGCTCTAAGATGGACAGTGCCTTCTGGTAATCTGACAGAGAAGTTTCAAAATCCTCTGCATATACAAGAACCAGGAAATAATCCATCCAGCTATTAATATAATCATATTCCACCTTTTTGTTTTTCTGGAGAAGAATTAATAAAATTTAAAATGAGTATATG